ATTTACGTCCAGGGCAGAATCAACTTGGAGGGGGTGGGGGGGTGTGGGGGTCACAAGATTAAAGGGAGCTTTAGCTGAAAAAAACCCTTTCCCTCCATTTGATCTCATATTTCTAGAATACCCACACTACCATCCTCCCATTATAGCATCAAGTTTTTTTAAAAAAAATTAGTCCAGTGTTGAGGCCTCAACCACACTTCCTGATAATCTGTTCCAGTCGTTAATTACCCACTGGATAAGAAAAACTTCCTTGTGTCTGACCTGAAATTGCCTTTTGTAACCCCGATTCTGTGTCCTCTTGATCTGGTGCATTTAAAAATATTGTTCTTGGTTTAATTTCTCAATCCTATTTAAAATGTTATAAACCCCTATAAGGTCCCCTCTGAGATTCCTCTCTTCAAGACTAGTAGCTTGTTTAATTGTTTTTCATAAGATAGGTCATTCCTCTAACATGGAGTCATCCTCATTGCTCTCCTCTGCACTACCTCTGGGGCCTGGACATTTCCCTTACACTGCGACCACCAACATTGTGCACAGTTCTCTAGATGCAGTCTTCTGGCAATTACGCAACTAAAGGCAACGTGAAGCCTGTATAACAAAAACTCCATTAAAAAGAGAAAATGAACACAATGCCTCAGGTAAGGAGGCAGAAAATTGGGTGAGTAAAATCCAATTATTGAGGAAAAGGCTCTGGGACTGAATGGGTTGCTTTTTAAAAAAGCCAGCACAGACACAATCAGTCAAAATGACCTTCCTCTATGCTGTAAACAAGTATACTCTTCTTCTTGATGGTGGAGGTTGCCAGGCCGGCAGAGCATACAGTAAAATGGTACAAACTGTGGGAAGAGGGAGTCGATTGTGACTTGAGTGGCCAGGGTGCCAATCAAGCAAACTGTTCTCTCCTGCATTATGTCAAGCTTCTTGGGTGATGAAAAACTTGAAAAATTGAAGGTGCAGCTCTCATGTTTCTCCAACTCTCAAAGAATGTAGCAAAACACCAGACCACTTGCATTCTAATTTTACTATTGAACGTTGACCACTTACATTCCACAGATGACTGAAGTCTGCTCCAAGCAGCACAGGAACCAGTATTAAATAAAAACACTTCATCCTTTATAAACGTTTTAAATTATATAACGTAAAATATATAACTTTTAAACAATAACCTCATTAATCAGATTTATTTTTTACATGTCAATTTTCTTCCTTTCCCACCTGAGGGCATTGTGTTCATTTTCTCTTTTTACCAGTTACAGGAGTCAAGTATCCTCCACTCCCTCACATAAATAGTCTTGCCAGTGAGTGTTGGAATCCTGTTCCACAATGCAGGAGGGAGGGTGGGGGGAAGAAGCAAACTCCATCCTGTGATCATGTATTCTCCACACAGCAAAGTTGCTCGATACTGATTAGAAGCAGCAATCCTGATTAAATTCTCTTTTCCCTTATTGGAGCATTCTTACTCCCACTAGAGTTTATATGAGCTAACTCAAAAAAAGATAGAAACATATATGGAAATATTCAAAACACAAAATCATGTGCAAACAGAATGGGTGCCACACATGTTAAAAATAAATGACATTAAGGAAGAACCTCATAGAAGTTGCCAACTTCCTCCTCTACTGGTTCATTACTGATTAGTTAAATGCCCCCAAAAATCTTTGGGATTTGACCTTAAAACTTTATTATGTGCCAGATATAGGATCTTCACAGGAAGATAAACCAAAACAACGTTGAATGAAGCATCCCAACATGAAAAGCACTATACAAATTTAATTTGTTGTTGTAGTGAACATTTTAGGATGTCTCCACGGACCACCTTACAGTTGGCAGCTCTTCTTATCTACAAGGTGACCCAGCATAGACCAGGAATGAACTTTTACTTTCTTGGTACCTCTAAGGCTGCTGCAAGTCATCCCAGAGGATTCTTTTGTACTCAATTAAAATCAATAATTTCTATGACCAAATGCAACTTAATAAACAGTGCATCAGGAAGCTGGGAATGGCTGCAAGACAAACATTAATTTGCAAGTACTCAAAAGAGTCCTGTTGTAGCATGAGTGTTGGCTTAAAAATGTTAAGCTTAGATGGATGGATGGAGCTGAAAGATTATAATGACATCATCTTGTTTCAACGATAAATGTTTCTCAGTTTTATTTTAAGGCTCAAGAAGCTGCATCAAGTACAAACCAGTATTAGCATTGCACAATCTTACTGAGACATGTCAATGACAAACATTGAGGTACGAGATAAAGTGCCCTGTAACTGAATTTTAAGCAGCTCATTACTTACCTACAAAATATGCTGTGTGCATCTCATTTATTGCTCCCAAATCAACTTTTGAATGATTAGAAGTGTGGAGTTTCAAGAGGCTTTTCCATCCACCTAATGTCATGGTTAGATCCAAGCCAGACATAGGAATCCCACATTTAAATCCTCACAAATCCTTATACAGTGTATTTAATATAATCCTTTCATGTCAGGTGGACATCTCAAAGCACTTCACAGGATATACTATAAAGTGCAGTAACTGTGTATTTTGGATGGCACGTTTTGTTTACTCAGTAACAAATGTAAACAAATTAAAAGTACATTTTAGCTAGATAAACTGGAAAATTAAGGTCTCAGTGCTATGAAATTAAACGCCTGTGCAAATTAAGAATAATTCACTGCTGCTTTAATATGTTGGAAGCCCTCAAATAATATAAATGTGGTAGTAATGTAATTTTATATCACTGAATGTTATTAATCATGTTGCATTTGTTCTGGAAGTTACTTGTCATTGCAGCAGACTGCTAACACATTGGTACTTGTATGAACAAGACAAGAACAGATCTGTATAAACGTCTTGCCTGGGGGGGATGGGGAAGAGAAAAGTTAACAGAACAATCAAACAGGGCCATATGGTGGATGTCTCGTTCATGTCAATCAAGATGATTAAGAAGCACTTCCATTACTTTTGATGAGTTAAAGCTACAATAAAATAAATGGTGGCAAAAGGAAAGCACCATTAATTAAAATTTCCACTTCAATTCAAAACCAGTCATTTTACAAAACCATCAAGCAATGTTTTATTAACCTGCATTTCTTTATAGTTACTATTATAGTTGTCCATTAGCTACAAAACTTGTTTTGGATAAATATCAGCTGAGCTCCAAAGTGATATGCTTGGCAACGGAATGTCAGAATCGAGTCAATCCTATGCGGTGATCTCAGTCGTCTGGTTCCTGAGCCAAGCGGGTCAACAGTACTCCAGCACACTACCAATGATAGACCAGCCAGCCTGGCCCATTGACAGTTTTCAGATGGTCCACAAGCCTTAGCTCTTGCCAACCCACACTTAATGCTATCAGGAATTATATAAGTGGGTGGATCCCTCCAGGGAGAGTGCACATTCCATTTCAGACACAGGGAAATTACCATGTATAAGTGGCATACATGTCTGGATACTGAATCATAGCAATGGGTTTACACATGTGTTAGACACCCGGTTGACCATAAAAAGACCTTTATATTGAACACTGTGAGCAGTACAAAGGAGTTGGATGAATTTATCAAATATGGGCTACATATCTCTCCTGCTGTAGGCAATGAGATAGCAGACAAAATGAATTGTTGTTTGACCCTGGCTCATCAGCAGGACTTGGGAGGGTAGGCCAATCACTAGGATTCTTCCCATTCAAAATAAATTGGTGTTTGACCTTGTTCAACAGTTTCAACAAGCTGACAACGAAATGTGCCACAAGCAGAGATCAACGAAGCACATGAATTGGCAGAAGACTACATAAGTAAGCATGTTTTTCCCTGGTAGCTTATGGCTTCATAAATGTAGCCTTGTGTTGCCAATTATGTGCCTTAAGCCAAAAGGGTAAACTCAGTTTGTGAACTTGGAGGATTAAGACAGAAGGTCAGAAAATTGAATGGTCACAAATTGAGTGCAGAGAAAAAGTGCAACCGGAAACCAAAACACACAAGTCACTACACTTTACAATATATCCTCTGAAGTGCTTTGAGATGTCCTCCTGATGTGAAAAGTTCTACTTGAAATACACTATATCACATCATATTTGCATCAATATCCCTTCTAACCTAATGTTGTGGTTTATGTCAATTGCATTGTTTTTTTCAAGTTATTTTATTTGGACTTCCCTTTCCTTCTTTGCACAATAATTTGCATTAGCACCCTTCCTTAGTGAGTAACTATTTGTTTGTATAGACGAAGGACTACCATTGGAACATATTTTTACAGATGAGGAACAAAGGAGTAGAAGTTGAATTGATGTTAGAGATCCAGAAGGAGGAAGCATGGTTTTAAAATAAGAGCTTAAAATAAGAGCTAGAAGTGAAATTATATAAAGAGCTGGGAGAATGTGGAACGAGGGGAAATGGGATTAACATATTTGCCATAATTAAATAAAATGCTAGAACAGATTGATGGGTAATTTGGTCTTTCCCCATACCCATGTACAAGACTTTTCCCTGAATATGAATCAAGCCTGACTCAATTGCTAAGCATATTTCACTAACCCAATCACATTGAATGCTCCATTTAACCACTTCTGCTTTTTCCTCTCTTCCCCACCTCCCTAATGACAAAGTACAGAGGTAGGGTCAATCGATTGGATAGGTGTACGGACACCGTGGTACCTAGAAATTGAACCAGGTAGTAATGAAATAAAGAGCACAGGAGCAATCCCACACATAGGTATATCCCGAAGAATATTAAATCAGATTATTGCACAAAATAACAGATTGAAAGTTTTTTGTTTAACAAATTGTATTCACTAATTGTTGTATTGACAATTTTTACCGTCAACAATTTGATCTCACCAAAAGATATCACCTTTATATTCTAGGTCTGAGAGGTTGTGCAATGTATTGAAACAGAAAGGAAATAGTTTAATGCGTTTGAAATTTGTGGTAATTGACTTAACAAGTGCATGATACACCAGAAACTGTTGACTATTCATTTGACACTTGGTCTTGTGGCTGCTCAGACTTACCACAAGTGGCTATCAGCACTGTTAGGGTCCACATTAATTGCCTCCTCAGCTACTTGCTTACCTTAAAAAGGAAATTACAAACACTTATTTGACCATTCCATGTTTGTGAGTGTTAATACCAGCAGCATTCAGCATTTAACCAGATTAATATTGACTCATGCATGTAAAAACAAGTCCAGATTCCACATATCTCTTCAGAAATTTAAAGGACCAATGGTTCAAGTTTTTAAAAAAAAATGACATTAGATGACTACCTCTATCTGTTCAAACGAACAAGCAGCTTGCTTTGTGGCAGCGAAGTAAAATATTTTCCAAGTATAGTTTATCTATCTTAACAAAAGAAAAAAATACTTACATGTTTTAGCTACAGTAACAATCACCCAGTAAATAATAAATGTAAAATAAATACATAACTGTCAACCCAAGCTAATTAACTGATGTAAAATGCAGGCTTGTGCTCACAATTCCACATATTGGCTGCATAATAAAAAATAACATTATTTGATTGCATTTGATAAAGCCCCTTATCACGTTGTTCAGACGTCACAAAGTGCTTCTTAGCCAGGTTATATATTATCCAGGTTGTACATTTAGCACCTCTGCCAAACACATTTTTTCAAGTTGAAGCTTTCTTTAAATCAATGCCGCTTTGCTTGTCTACAAGTAAAACACTGGCATTGATTTAAAACTGTGTTTGCCTACAAATACAGTCACTACACAGTAAAATCCTGTGAAGCACTTTGAGACATCTTGATGATATGATGAGGCACTATCAAATGCAATTCTTAATATTATTATTATAGGTGAAATTACCACCAACTGAGCCAAGCTAACATGGCCTAGAAGGGATTTATTTAACACAGCATCACATTGTATTTTAGATATGCAAAGTTCTAGGGAGTATTGAGGGGAAAATCAATGCTCACCAGTTGAAGCATAGTTTTTCTTGTCTTCTTTATCTGAAGTCATGTCATGCATATCACCATATGCCCGTGCCAATCTCCATAAAAATTCTACTTGGTCTCCATACTAAAATAATAGAAAAAAATCCATGGTAAATTTACTATATTCCTTACAAATTACCATTAAATATTACACAGAATAATCTGAGAAATGTAGTTTCCTATAAATAATTGCAATACTGTTTCAGCATATTACATATAAGGGCCAACAAACTAAAATATACCATGTACATTTACTCTTGAGTTCTAAGTTGGGGCCTAAAATTGGCGAGTAACCATGTTCAAATGCAGGAGAGTCCTCAATATTATTTTGTTTTAGTCATCTCAAAGGAGATAAACAGGAATTTAATAACAGCATTTCTCTGATACAGTACCAACCAATTTGGGGTTTCATGTCATCTGTTTGATACAGGACCACCCGGTCTGGGATTTAACGTCATATCTCCGATATGAAACCACCCAGCCTGGGGTTTTACATTATCTTTCTGTTATAGGACCACCCAGCCTGAGGTTTCATGGAAATAAAGCCTTGATGAAAGCCCCATCAGATCTTCTGTATGTTGTAATAAGGATCACTAAAATGCCAATCAATTTTTTTTTTAACAAGCATCTTCTAACGTTACCACACTGATGTCACTGGAATTTTCCTAATGCACCTCACATCGGTTCGTGACCTACTTTATTCTAGTTTCACATCAAAAGCTTAATAACCACTAAGGTACACCTTGTAAATCAAAAGTGTCATCAAAAGGAAATAAAAATACTAAATACAAATTGCATTGAAAAAGTAACCATGATAATAGAAGCTCTTGCCCGACCCAAAACATAACATTTCCAAACATTTTTTCATGAATGGACAAGTACACTTTCAAAATTCAAACACAGGCAGGGACATTCCAGTGAGTAAAACAAGACATCAACACAAGGATAGAACTTTGATATTGCAGGCAATTAAAATAATACAGCACACTGGTCACTTACACTTATGCTAGAAAATCTTGGACTATTCAATCTTGAAAGGAGACAAAGTATAGAAAATTTTGAATGGGATTAAAAAGTAAGACCAAAATGATATTTTTGTATTCACCAAGACAGTAGGACAAGAGGACATAGGCTTAGGGTTGCAAAGGGCAATTTCAGCACAGACACCAGGAAGCACTTCTGGTATCGGAGGGTGGTAATTAACAACTGGAACAGGTTGCCAGGACGATAGGGTGTATATTCTGAAAGGCAAATATCAAATAGTCCAAAGAGCTTACTTCATTCAAGCCAACATTGTAATCTGAATTACAGCCAGGTCCTCAATTAGAAATTAACCTTCATAAAGCAACATTGACGGTCCTCGTTTTGTTCCTGCCATAATGCAGAAATCTTATCAAGTTTCATGGATATTTATACTACAAACTGCTGGGAACATAGCATATATTGAAGCCAATGTACCCTAACAAAAAAAGCACTGTACTCTAACAAAAAAAACACAAAGGAGGTTGGAATGTACATGTCAGTTTCAAACAATTGCCAATTTATTCTGTGAAAATGCTATGAAGTCTATCTGATAGGAACGGTTAACCACTGTGGTAAAATATTGTTGTTAATACTGTACACAGTAGCAGTGACATTGGTCTGACCTCAATGGGTAAATGCATTGAACAATGCAGCCCAACACATTTCCAGGTACAATACGATATGTTGAGTCAATTTCTACCAGGCTGGCACCACAAGGGTATTATTGTCCAGAGCACAAGAAAGGGGAATGGAAAGAAAGAGGAAATATACTTCAGATCATTATGTACCGAAACTTGCTTGACAATGCACATTGTGTGGATATCAGTTGAAGAAAGGCTTAACTGGGGTTGTCCTCATTGTTGAGTATGCTCAATCACTCACCAAAATGGATTACCAAAGCACAACAGTCACTTGGATGATATATGAGTTATATGAGTTAGGAATTTCATTTTTGCATGAAATGGAGAAGTTATTTGGTGTTTTATTTTAAAATACTTTGAAAGGGAGCCATTTGTGTGGGGTAGCTCCAGAAGTACAATACAAGAAAATATGGCCAAATAGGATGTGAGTGTTTAAATCAGTGTCTTCATCAAAATCTTCATTCAAACCTCTACACCCCAGCTGTAGGAGCAAAGTACTCAGTACTAATAAAATGGTCTACAAAATACAGTCACTGGAATTTACAGTATATCCTGTGAGGTGCTTAATAGATATCCTCCAGACATGAAAGGCGCTATATCAAATGCAAGGATTATTACACTCACAACATCTGCTGCATGCTATAATTCCACCACATTATTTGATACTGAAATAAAAAAGAACTCCATTCATAATGCAACCCTCATGAAGGGGAGGCAGACAGAAAGATAATTTGGTAATAAGATAAAATACATAACAGTGTGCCTCTAAACTTGGGGCCCATCTGTGGCTTCTGAAAAATAAAGTGGAGGCAGCTTCTGGGCCATCTTGAAGGGACTACTGCTTACAAGATACATTAAATTGCAGTGACTAATACTACCACAAGGAATACATAGCTCATGATACTAACATTGGAGTCTGATGATATGGCTATTGCCAATGAAATTTCTTAACAAGCAAAGTGAAATGTGTCTTGTTCTGACACAATGTAATTTCAGAAATCATTTACCGCAGCTTGATGTGATGGATTTGCCGTTCCTCTGACTTGCAGAAAGCCTCACTCAGATCCCTTGTTTAGGATTACCATTAGAGCAATGGACCCATATCAGAACTAATGGTCTTGGATACAAGTCAAGTCCTGTGGAGTCCTGTAGCTCAGCGGTTAGAGCACTCGCTTTGCAAGTGAGAGACCTGAGTTCAATTCCAGGCAGGGCAAAACCTTGGGCAAGTTTCCTTACTCCACACACCTAATAATAACCCCCCCAAAAAAAATCAAAAACAATAATTAAATTGGTCATTTTCAATCTACGACTGTTTGTGGGACATTGCTGTGCGCAATTGGCTGCCGCGTTCGCCCACAAATATACAGTCAATTCACTTTACAGTGTGTTCTGTGAAGCGCTTTGGGACGTCCTCCTGACGTGAAAAGTGCTATATCAAGTGCAAGGATTATTATTATTATTATTATTATTATTATTACAAGCCTCAAACTCATCTCCCAATATTTTCATTTGTTTTTATTCTGTGTTATGAGACATGTTAGAATGCTCCAAAGCAAAATATCTGGCACAGCAAACTCTGTTTTGGAGGTGCCTGATAGTTACAATTCAGTTAAAAAAAAGTCACTGCTTGATGTACTATAGTGTATATTGACCTGATCTTTCTTTTCGAGCAGCAGCCAGAACCCCTCCTCCTTTTCCTCAACGGTCCCACTGTGTAGATCATGTGCTCTCTGAATTATGGAATCAAATTCACTGAGGTCTTCATGCACATTGCTCACTGGACTTTCAAATGCAGGGTTTACTGCAGAAGGGATCACGGTTTCCTCTTCAGATTCATCTTCTGTGTCTGTGAATGCTGTGATATAGCTGCAATTAAAAAAATGTGGGTACTTCAGATTCCAGCAACAAAAGTGATAAAAAGGACTGCATATGATGGTGACAAATCATGTATCATGCTATTACAGACTCCTTTAAAAAAATTAACATGTATTAAATGTAACATATATTGCAATGCAGCAAATCATGCAGCAAAATGATAATAAAATTGAAATGTGCTATATTGTACCACTAAGCATAAGTTCACTGTAAATTAGGATTTTATATTTCATACACCTCCAACTTTGATATCAATATCAACCAGGGAGTTAACACGTTCCCTCCTTGGGAAACAAAACAATGACCCATTTGTGTACAACAACAGATGTCTGGGCCTGTCCTGTGTTCAGTATAACCATTCCAGTGACCAATTTTTCCAGACTCTGCCTTACAATTAATGGCCAATTAACTTTACCCCTTCCATTGTACTGCTCAAAAGATTGACAAATTTGAATTACTTTACTTATACAATACTTTAGTTTGTATTTACTGCCTCATAACATTAACCGAGAATCTGAGATTTCAGTCTTGAGAAACTAGTTTGTTCTTGTGCATCACTGATTGCATTTGTTTTCAATCAAAACTGTGGTGAGAAGATACTAGAAAGTCATATTCAATAAGAAGGGATAATAACTGCCGAAAAGGAGGAAGACAAATTAAAATGGTATTGCGGTGGAATACAATGAGTTGCTAATCTTTAAAAGAAATTCCTTTGAGACATAATTCTGGCAAACAAGGACTGACAACAGTCTGGGTTTTGAAAGCCACAGGAATTTGATAAGACTTCAAGTCTTTCTTTCATGGAAGCCAGATTTTTAAAACTGGTGAAAGATTCACATGCCTCTTCCATTTTGTGAAAATGATTTTTCATACAGAAGACTGCTCACAGGAGCAGGTCTGTTAATGTTATGGTAACAGTAAAATTTACATAGTTGTGTTTTGTCAGGAGTTTTTGTTTGGCACTTCCACCAAGGAGCTATTCTTCATTTAGTTCTGCACAATGTTCTGGATTACAAATCAAGGAGATTGCAGGCGCATACTGACAGTTTCTTATTCTTTTTCTGTAGTCAGGACCCTGGCGTGCCCAGACCACATCGCAAAAAAAGTCAAACCTGTTTGCTACATTCACAGAGGAGCAGAGACAGGGACAAAAACAGACTGCCCAAAGGCTGGAAAGTGATGATAAAGCCTGTGCATTATAGAAGGATGAGCTCAGGAGCAGCAAGACATGCAAACGCTGGAAGGCAAAAGAAGGTGAAAGATGAGAAAGGTAACCAGATACACGGGAAGGGGAAAAAGAGGAAAGGGAAAGGGGAATAGGGGAAGACAATCAAAAGTAGTTTTTCTCATTCAAAAGTATGGATGATATGGTGTCAAAGGACCAGCAGCTGAAGAGTTCCTAGAGGACGAATAAGATATTGCCTTTGAAGTCCTCGTTACATCTGTTTGGAGATGTGCGGGAAGTATAAAAAAGAGGGAGAGTGTGGCGGACACTGTAAGGCACATTATGTTTCTGTGTGTGGCGGCGTAGTGGGGCGCTGAATCATGCGATTCAATCATGGGATGGAATAGAGGAACGTCTAAATTTGAAAGGAAAGGAAGAAATCAGCTGTCTCAGTAGTCTCTCTTGAGAATTTCGGTTCACTGACAGTGCTGCAGGATATACAATGTGCCCTACAACAACAACAACAAAATTACATTTATAGAGCACCTTTCATGTTGGGAGGACGTCCCAAGTCGCTGGACAGTCAGGGGTCACGACCCGAGCGTGGGGGATGGTGGGGTAGGGGTGAGGGAAGGCACAGAGGTGGGAGGGAGACCGAAGGCACGATCGAAGAGGAGGGTCTTGAGACCGGTCTTGAAGGAGGCAAGGGAGGAAGCGAGGCGAAGGGAATGTGGGATGGAGTTCCAGAGTGTGAGGGCAGAGAAGCTAAAAGCCCGGCCACCGATGTTAGGGTGGGTGATATGGAACAGACCGGAACCCGCTGAACGGAGGGAGCGGGCAGGTTGGTAGGGAGTCAGCAGATCAGAGAGGTAAGAGGGGGCAAGGCCATGGTTGGCCTTAAAAGTAAGGATGAGGATCTCGAATTCGATCCTCTGGGGGATGGGGAGCCAGTGGAGTCAGGCGAGGGTGGGAGTGATGGGGTCGTGGAGGCTGATGCGCGAGAGTACACGAGCTGCAGAGTTTTGGATGATCTGCAGCCTGTGAAGGGAATAGGTGGGAAGGCCGATGAGGGAATTTCCATAATCGAGCCTTGATGTGACGAATGCGTGGGTGAGGGTTTCGGCATCCTGAGGGGTGAGCCAGTGGAGGAGGAGAAAGGACAGTTCAGGGTCAAACAAGAGGTCACCCTATAGTAACAATAATTGATATAGTGCCTTATCACGTCTTGAGACATCTCAAAACGCGTCACAGAATATACCGTAAAGTGAATTGACTGCATATTTTGTGGGTGAAACGCAGCAGCCAATTGCGGACAGCAGTGTCCCACAAACAGTCGTCAATTGAGTGACCAAATTATTATTTTTTTAAAATTGATTATTCCTGGAAAAGTGATCCTCCAATTGACTAACAACCAGGTTCCTACTTACTGCCAGGTAAACAGAGGTGTGTCAAGTAAGGAAACACTATTATTATTATTACAATATAGGAAGTCAAATTTAATTCTGTATGAAAGTCAAAATATATCATTTTTTTAAAAAAGATGCCAACACAGAAGACTTTAAGAAATTTTTGTGTAATGTTTTCAACAGAGATAGCCACCAACACATCAATGCAATTTACCAAAATTCAGGTCAAATGTGGAATCATCCATCTGTTTAATAAATGTTGAAACACATTGCTTTAAATTTGACCTTTTGGGGAGAAGAGTGGAATTTACAGAGGTCACTGAGACAAATACAGTACTACATTGATACTTAATCCACTGAATCATTCCAATTTCAGTATTCTGCCTGCAGCAAAAAGTCTTGGTTAAGTGATCTCTCTCTGTATCAAACTGATGACACAGTGTTTTTGTGGTGGTGGTTGGCTAATTCCCATTTAAATAAACTGAATTCCTTTGTTTCTCAGGTAACATCCTGATCAGCAATGGGAACATATGTTGGACAATACTGCACACCATCAAGTCTGCAAAAAATTAAACTAGGTTGTAGGAATGCACAAAGAGGTTTGGATGAAGGACCTTTGGTGCACAGGTTTTCATTATTCCAAAATACCCATTCAACCGCCCTTCTATGACTGCAGCAAAATAGTTCTAAAATAAATTAATGGCGAAACACCCCTAAGTACTGTAAAAATAAAACCAGGGAATGGGAATGGCCAAGCAGATGAAAAATGTGCAGCAATGATAAATTGTTACTCAGTATAATGTAAATCCACATTTGCAAACACCGCAAATTGAACCAACAATAACAACACAGAAGTCACTGGGAACACGCAGCAGGTCAGGCAACATCTATGGAGAGAGGATAGTGAGTTAACGTTTCAGGTCGTTGACCTTTCGTCAGAACTTTGACTCAGTTTCACACTCAACTAAGATTTGAAACAATCATTTCCTCATGATTTGTCTCACGCTGTGGTGGGCTGGCAAAACAAAACTTGGAACAAAATTACAATACCTTTGTTGCAAGTGGAATTCTCTCTCTCTCTCTCTCTCTCTCATAAATCTGAAAACAATTTCACTGAGGACATAACAGTAAAACTGGAAACAAGCCCAATGTGCTAATGAAAGATATTACTGAAGGCAAGTGTGGCCAAAAAATCAAAAGCTTGATGTAATGTGAGGAAGTGTGAAGTTATTCACCTAGATAGTAAAAATAGAAAAGCGGATTATTTTTTAGAGGGGGAAGAGATTAGGTAGTGTTAGTGTTCAGAGGGATTTGGATGTCCTTGTACACCAATCACAAAAACTTAGTATGCAGGTACACCAAGGAACTAGGAAAGCTAATGCCATGTTAGCGATCGTTGCAAAAGGGTTAGAGTACAAGAGAAGGGAAGTTTTGCTGCAGTTGTATAAGGCCTTGGTGAGACGCACCTAGAATATTGTGTGCAGTTTTGGTCTCCTTATTTAAGAAAATACATGTTGCCTTAGAGGGGGTGCAGAGTAGATTCACTAGGTTTGTTCCTGGAATGAGGGGGTTGACCTATGAGGATAGGTTGAGTAAACTAGGCTTATATTCTCTAGAATATAGAAGAATTAGAGGTGATCTTATAGAAACCTATAAGATTCTTAAGGATCTTGACAATGTAGATGCTGTGAGACTGTTTCCCTGGTTGGAGAATCTAAAACTAGAGGTCATAGTCTCAAGATTAAGGGTCAGCCTTTTCGAACTGAGTTGAGGAAACATATCTTCATTTGTGGAATTCTCTACCCCAGAAGGCTGTGGATGCTCAGTCCTTGAACGTATTCAAGACTGAGGTTGATAGATTTCTAAATGATAGATGGATTAAGGGATATGGGAATAGGGCGGTTAAATGGAATTAGGTTAGAAGTTCAGCCATGATATTAAATGGCGGGGCAGGCTTGAGGGGCCAAATGGCCTACTCCTGCTCCTAAGTCTTATGGTCAAATGTGAATATTGAAGTATACCGCAGAAAGAGCAGATATTTGAAGTTGCACTGGAGGATTCACAACTGCATTTTACTTTAAAAAAAATTCCAAACTTGTCAAATAATTCACTTGAAACTTCGTAATTCAACCAAGATATTTTAAAAGAAATGTAATTCATTGTTGCACCAATTGCTGCTGTTTTGGGCTAATGATTTTCTGCACATTTCAATTCCAGTTTATAAAAAGACACAAAGATTACAGCAATGCATGGAAAATTAATGTAATTCAGACAATGAGTGTATGCTAAAAAAATTAGCATTCAAATCTTCCTTCAGTTGTCAAAGGATTAAAGGTAAGCTTAATTTACTGCAATTTACAACAGCAGATGAGCAACTGTTCCAAGTTACCTGTAACGTTGAATACTATAAATAAAAGTCT